ACTTACCGGATGGAGGACTCGGACTGGAAAGTATCCTTAAGAACACGACGCGTGCTCTTTGACGTTTTCCCTCTGCGAGCATGTTTCACGCTCTTAAGCTAACGTTAGCTTTTAGCTAACTCAGTTGGAGGATAAGCTAGCGGTTATTAGGCTACGTGTCATACTGAAGCAGGCTGTCAGTGGTAAATGGGGATTGTTATGTATTCACAATTTATTTTGGGGGTCTGAGGGCATATTTTAAGATTGCTAGCTATTATGTGATGTCATCTTTGAGTTTCATTAGCGGTTACAATAGTTAAAACAGCCTGTCTTGGTGCTTGCATACAATAACTGCTATCAATACTGAAACGTTCATGCTTGAAAATAAATGGTAAACTGCCCCTCAGAGTAACGTGTGTGATGGTTACATAAGGTTTGTACCTTAACGTTTAATCTCAGTCTTGCAAATCATCAAAGAATCCCAGCAGCAGCACGGCCTCAGGCATGGAGACTACCAGAGATACAGGTGAGCTGGCTCAGGTCATACATGACAGGGTGGAGATTTGTGTGTGGTGCAGCAGTTTTTCCACCCTATGTAAAGACACTGACATGAGTCTTCTGTTCACAATACTGGGCTCAGATTTATGGTTTAATGCAGTTAAATGGAACAGGTGTGGATTAAAGTTAAACTCAAAGCTTTTGATGTCCACCTGTCTTCACCACATTTTCATATTTGCGGAGTTTAAGATATAGTGATAGATAATTTATGTTCTTTGATTTTCCTGCATATTAAGTTTCGTGGTGACTTTTTTTGTCTATGTTGTATTTCATTTATTGTAATGTAGAATTTTAAAAAATCCTTGTCTGTTTCCAGGGGCTACTGTTCCCGCAGGCTGCGGCGCCTCCGCAAGACTCTTGGCTTCAAGATGGGAAACCGACACAAGTTTGTTGGGAAGAAAGTCACTGTGGAAATGCTTTCTGATAACAGGTTAGACTTAGATCATTTTAACTGGTCATTCACGTGTAGTTAACTGGCTGCTGGTTTGGGAACCTTTACATTAAGGAAATTCCAGTTTGAAACACTTAAACAGATCACTTTGCTTTGATGTGGAACAGTTCAGCGGCTTGATGCTTTCACATAAAAAACAAACTGTTTATACAGCTATGCCACCTTTTTCAGGTATCTTCTGCTGGTTTTGATGGAAGCAGAGCGTGCATGGAGCTACGCCATGCAGTTGAAGCAGGAGGCCAATACGGAGCCACGTAAGCGCTTCCACCTGCTGTCACGACTACGTAAGGCTGCAAAGCACAGTGAGAAGCTGGAGAAGCTCTGCGAAAGCCCCCGTGTGGACGCCAAAACTAAACTGGAGGCACAGGTACACAGGTCAAATTCACCTTAACTGACCTGTGTAGGTGTGTGGAATAACAAGTGGATGTGCAGCAAGGTCCCAGCCTCAGAGATGAATTACTTTAACTTTTTGATTTGTTGTCTTTCAACTGTAAGATTTCAGTACTTCAAACACTGTTAATTAGAAAAACAGTGTAGAATATTCCATGACGATATTTTATCTACACAGGGACAGCAAATATTGATATTTTAATCAATAAAATACTTTTGGAATACTTTGAACAAGAGGGCTGAAAGGTTGGAGGAGGCAGCCTTTCTGCAAACAGTTGCAGTGTGCCTTTGGATTGACTGCAGTTATTCAGGGAAATTGGCAGAGGATTGTGAATAATTGCTTTCTCTAATCTATAAATGCAGACAGATTGCCAGCGGTCTGAATGACTCTGTGTCACTGAGCACAACTTGAGGGGA